GGATATATATCATGTCTGCTTATTTCACTGTTCTATCCCTGGAACAGTATCTGCCACAGAGTCTTCAATAAGTTCTTGTGGAGTAAATGAGTGGCAGAGGACCCAGTGGACTTCACACTAATGAACTTCCAAACAGTGTTGTGAAAACCCTATCATTCACCCACCTCTACCTCAGTCTTATATCCTCACAGCCTACTATAATAACACAAGATAGGCTCCTCCACCTAAACACTGGACAATTAAAGATCTGGAAACCATGAAAACTTGCTTCCCACATTTAAATACTTCCAAACTGGATGAAACCTCCCATCAAACAAACCTAAGGAATCCACTGACCCTGCATGCTACCAAAAGATGGTCTGGAAGGAAGGACGCAGCTATATGTGGGAAATTAGTAGCACTTTCCTCATCTGTCTTCAAAGTCCTATATATGATAAAAGGTCTGTGGCTTTACATTTCCTTTCTTGAAGCTTCTCAGGTATCACTAACTATACATGCTCTTTAATCTACTAGTATTGGTACTCTTTGATCATAGTCCCTTTGATTACAGATTCCTGAATAGGATTTTGCATCTAGCAAGCATTCCACTCCCACCTTATTTACTGGTCTCTGATTGTTGAGCATTTTTCTCCTCCCTCCTAAGGCTAGGAATATTGAAATGACACATCCTTTTTCACTACATGCTCCATCTCCTCCAGCACTAAACACAGGACAGGTCCCTCAGTAATATCTTGATCATGAAGTATTATAATTCATACCTTGACTTTATTTCTCTTTTTTATGCTAAGTGCATCTATGTGAACATCTTTCTTCAGCCCCATTTTATGGAAGGAATATCCATAGTTGGTCCATGGATCACAGAAGGACCATTTTAAGACCCATTCCAGAAAACAACTGTTCAACTGCATTTTGTATTTGTGTATCTCTATTATGTGTAGGGTGGGTGGATAAAGAACAACAGGACACTCACTCATAAGTGCATTCACAAATACAAACCACTGCTCACACATATAAGATAACCTAAATATCTCTGAGATGGCATATGAAATTTTAGTCTCCAGGTGCCTGGCCCCAGCCTGAAGTGGTTAGTTCTAAATCTATCATGACCACTCATGCTCACTTATTTATTTGTTTGTTTGTTTGTTTGTTTGTTTGTTTGTTTTTACATCCATAGCATTATAAATTTTGATCTTTAGAAAAGCCTAGAAACGTTTTAGGGAAATAAGTGGGAGGGACTCAGAATTAAGCTCCTAATAACCACCTCTCTTCCACACCATTTGCTTAGCATGAGCGTCAGCTCTATAATCTATATGTAGAATTCTAATCTTGTCCTTTCCTCTTTCCTGGAGCCTCCTCTTTCCCCACCTGCCTCTTTCCTTTTCACCAGCTCCTTTTCTCTTCGACTCTACTCCCTTACTCCCTAATAGTTCTGCATTGCTCACCATGGGCTTATACCTTGCAGATCCTTGACCCAGAATTGCTTTGCCAAGACAGGGTGATGATCAGAGAGTGCAGAAACACAGCAGGTGAAAAACAGACCAAAGAACAAAAGAAGCAATTCCAGGGTTAGTAAGGACAGGCACAGGGACATAAGGGACAGACATGAGATCATGCTCACAGTAGGGAAGAACTAACACAGGACCTGGAAGAGGGGAGTGAAAATGTACTCCCTTGTCATCTCTGGGGATTAGAGACAGCTTAGAACAGAGGGCCCTGAACCAGGGGGATCTATGGGCTTCAGGTCCCAGGGCTCCAAGTCAGTCTGGGACATGAACAAGGATTCAACCAAATCAACACTTTGCCAGCTTAGAAACTTACACCTTTGCTCATATTAGCGGTAGCTTGGAAATTTTGGAATCCATGATGAAAGCATACCTGAGCCTCAGCAGGGTCTTGATCTAGATTGATCAGTAATTTGATAAAGAAAATCTGGCAAGAGTCATTCTACTATGTGTCAGCCTAGTTACAGAGCTCCTAATACTTCTTGTGCAGAGACAATTTCATTTTCCTCTGAAACCTTAGCTGAGAGTACTTCATAGTGGAAAATCGGTACATGTCTTTTGGATTGAAATGCATCTGTTTCTAGCCTTATATAACAAAACCCTGGAGATATTTCTCATTGGGGCTGCATCTCTCCAGGTGTGAAGAGGCCTCTCCTCTTAGATACTTACTTCAATGTTCAGTCTTGCTTGGTAGTCCTGTCTATTTTCCCTCAGCGGAGAATCATCACTAACTCTGTGTTCCGTCAATTTTTTAGACTACACGCTAGTAATCTGTTTGTTTGGGGCAAATGTCTAACACAAAGCACACGCAAATCTGAAAATCATAGCTAGCCAGCCAAGGTAGCCAGCCGGGGTAGTCTCATCCTTCCAACAGAACTCTACATACAAATTCCCACCAGACCAACAAGAAAGTCTACTTTCAATGCCCAGTGGCTAAACATCTGGAATTTATCCGTGTTCTACTCATCCCTCCTTTTGTGCTCTAACAAAATACTTAGAATCTTCTGGAAATCAGTTTCTGCATCTATAAAAAGGGAATAATAACTTAGAAATTCTTAATTTAAAGAAGGGCTCTAAAGAATAAGTGGGGAAACAACTATCACCTTACTGTGGAGAAAATAAGTCTTTTTCCATGACTCTCCATAATTTTCTCTCTGATTATGCAGAGTTACAAATCCAGGTGGATGCTCACCAAACAAAAGGGATTTCATTCACTCATTAAAACTCATTCATTTCAACTCTTCTATTAAGCAAACATTCATTGCATACCTACTACAAACTAGGAGCTTGTAAATGATAGGAATGCAATGGTAAACAAGGAGGCATGAACCTGGTCTTTGATGATATATAATGGAGGAATAGACATTAAACAACTGAGTATACAAGCAATCATCTTATTCAAGTTGTGGTAAGTCCTAAAATGAAAAGTACATTGTGCAATGAGAATGTATGTGAAAGATACTAATCTAATATACAGGACTAAAAAAAGAATATCTGAGGGGATTTTTGGTGAGGCCTAAACAGGAACTGCCAGGCAAAGAATAAAGAGAAAGCACAAGTAGAAGAGACAAGGAGAAATGTGATGCATTTGAGAAGCTGAAACTAGGCAAGTATAGTGGTGTACTGTCCTAATGCATTAACAGTAGTATTAGTCTATTTTGTGCCATCATTTTCTCCAACTTCCACAAAATACAGGGCTAACTTCATTAAGATTCATTAAGATTCCTTTTTTTCCAACTGAGTATGTAAGAGAGACAGTTGAGTTTAGAACAAGTTGAGTTTAGGATAAACATGACAATGATTGCAATGATATACTATGGAATCTAAACTGGATAGAGAAGGAAGAAAGGAAAAGTTAGGGATAATGGCATCCGGAAGGGGTTTCTGATGAAGTTTGAATATGAATGAAACTTTTGTTGAGAACACATGCTGTGTGAGATATTTTCATATAAAAGGGCATAAGAAGATGCCTAAGACTAAGTTTCTGCCTTCAAGGAGCTCATAATGTAGGTGTGGATAGATAAATAAACAAGCAAATAAGTATGATGGTTTGTAATTGTGGCTTGGATAAAGCAGCGCTGCCTGTGTATCTCCCGAACTGCCTAAGGGCATCACAGACAGCAAAGAAAATGTCAACACACACACAGACCCAAACACAGAGGATCTTACCTCATTATACCAATTTTAGTCTTTACTTCTTACTCCCAAGTAATTTAATATGTTCATCTTCATTAAATTTATGGCTTCTTTTCCAGTGGAGATTGTAGGAAATGGACATCTTTATAGGATAGTTTCTTAAGAGGACCATAGATGACTCCTACCCAGCTCTACTCAATACACAGTCTACTCATACCAAGTTGTTGTTGTTGTCATTTTAAATAACCAGACACTGAGTATGACACACACAAAAAGAACATCACTTCTGAAATTACTTGCTCAAAGAGTCAGGGATGTACAAATTAAGTGTGAGAAACATAAATGAAGTGTAAATAAATGTAAATTAAATGTAAGACTCCTACTTTTATGGAAGATTGATCTTTTCATTAAATTCCTCCATTCCTTGCATTGATCCTAAGGACAATGGAATTATTGAAGGGATGCAAGGTGCAAAGTGACACAATCATATGAATTCTAAAATGATCACTCTAGCTTTTATTGAGAGAGTGGATTGAATGGAGCAAAGTTGGAACTCCTTTAAAAAGATGACTCTGAAATACTCTCAGAGGGACAGATAATGGAAAAAGGCCAGGCAAGCTCTATGGTCATGATAAAGGTGAGACTGTCATGTATATATCTACCAGTATGACTTATAAGTACCTTAAAATCAAATATTTAACCCAAATATTGACTTAATTTTGTTGGAGTGTGACATAGGATTAATCAAGGACAAGCCATAGGTTTCTGGCTTGGAAATTCATGTGGGTGGTAGTACCATTCATTCACTGTAAAAGAAGACTGAAAAGGAAGGGCACTTTTTTTGGAGGAAGTTAGTGAGTTTCCAGGTCAGTTTTGGAGAAATTAAGTTGCAGGCATTTGTAAGCCATTCCAGTAGATATCCAGGAAGCAATTGGATAAAGAATTCTGGATCAGACAGACCTAGATTTGGATCCTAAATCTACAAATTGTTTTTCTGTAATATTTGTAAGTCTCTATTTCCTCATCTGTGAAATGAATTAACTAATATTACCCTATCATAATTATTTTTAATTCAATTAATTAATAATTGTAAAACATGGACCAAGGGCAGTGAAAATTTTCTTGGAGCACGCAATTGAAGAAAACAGATACAAAAGATAATCAGCTCTATGTAATTTAAGATAGGTAAGGAAAAAAGTAAAGCAAGTACAGGACACAGGATACAGGACTGAAGCTCAAAGCAGTAAGTTTGGTAGTTGAGAGCGTTGATAGCTACTGAAAGAAGGAACACAAGAGCCTTTGTCTTTAAAGCTTTCTACTCTTGATATTGGAATGTAAGATCTTCAACTTTT